TTATTTTATATTATAATTATTATTAATTAAATGCTAATATTTTAATTTTATAATATTCAAATAAATATATTACAATATTTTATAATATTATAAATATATTATAATATTTTTGTCTTTATTAATGTAATATTTTTTTCTTTTATTTCATAAATATTTTTATTATATTTTTTTTACGTTTTTTAATTATTTTTATATTATAATATTTATTAATATTTAGAATAATTATTTTTATTATTTAATTATAATATAATTAAAAAAAAACGTCCGGCCGGTTCGTCACCGGCCGGAGGGGCCGGTTTTGTCACCGTACGACCGGCCCGAAAAGTCGGACGTACAACCGACCGTGCGGCCCGGCCGGCCGCACGATTCAAAGGGCGACCGGTAAAGGAGACCGGTCGCCCGCGGGACGTACGGAAAAGGATACCGCAGGGCTCGCCCCGCGTCCGGTCTGACCGGCCGGATGCGGGTCCAGTTTTAAAAAAAAAATTTAAAAATTATTTAAATTATAAAAAAAAATACCTTGCTAGAGAAGAACGCTTTGCCGAGACCGTAGAATTTTTTCGACATTTTTTTCGGGATTTTTTTGACGTGCGTACGGGTCGTTGAAGTTATGGTTTTAGAGAGATAGAGAGTTTAGAGAGAGAAAACAAAAAAATATAGTAAAGAGTATTTTCGTAATTGGGGGGGCGGTGACTAGTAATAGGGGGGCGGTAAATAGCAATCCACTTTTTTTTTCACCAAATAAAAGAAAAGGTAATAGTCATGGCCCCGTTTAGAAGATAGAGGATTGAAGACAAATTAGCGGATTTGACTTAATTGAGAGGTTTGACCCGTCAAATCTGCTATTGAGCATATTTGGTAAATAACTTATTTGATAAGTTTTTCGGGTCAAAACTCTAATTTAAGAAAAACTAATTAGAGCAGCGTTTTGGGATATAGAATTCACAAAAAAAAAATCATTTACTTGGAACTTTTTAGTTTGTATTATTTATTTTACAATCTACATTGGTTTTATGGTGCTAATAAATAATAATATATCATCCATATGATTAATTTTTTTTAGAAAAATGTAAAATTCATAACTTCTTCATCAAGTGTTCATAAATTTTTTTAAAATATATATATATTTATAATTTACCAACTAAAGAATATTAACTGTTTTAATATATTATTATTAAAAGAATACATTCTAAATAATATAATGTTCTTATTGGTCATTTTACAATGTCAAACAGCTATTACCAAATACTTATTTAAAAATCGCTAATGCAATCTGTTGGTCAAATCATCTAATATAATTCGCTATGTGCTGATCTTCAAACTAAGTCCATTTACTATCCCCATAAAACCGGCTCACAAGGGTCACGCGTCACTGTGTAATACGGTTGCGCTCTTGACCAGCTCCTTTGATAAAATGGTAAATTAGGCCAAAGTACAACACACGAAGCATATCTTTCTAGGGTTTTCTCAATAATCTCTATTCGTCTTTCATCTGCTCAATCACATCTCTTTCTCTGGTTTCTCCCCTTTCCTTACACCTTCAACTGGTTTGGTTTTCTGCCGCCGTTAGGTAAAATTTATTTTCTTCTGTCTCCCGTGTATGTATGTATCTTTTATGTGTGTGTGTGTGTGTGTGTTTGTGTGCGCGCAATTGGCTTTGCTTAACTGTGAATTCGATTTGTTTGTTCCTTAATTATGTATCTGACACCTTTATTTTCGTTTGTTAATGTTTGGATTTGAGGGTTTTAATATTTGAATCCTCTTACGGTCTCTCTGTTTTATGGAGTTGATGTTTTCTTATTCTCGTTATGTATCTGACACCTTTATTTTCGTTTGTTAATGTTTGGATTTGAGGGTTTTAAAATTTGAATCCTCTTACGGTCTCTCGTTATTATGGAGTTGATGTTTTCTTATTCTCGTGGTGGTGCTGATGGTTATTTGAAGCACATAATAAACTAATTGGAGACTGTGAGCTGTGGTTTTTTCTCGATCCATGAATTTAAAATTTGGTTTTACTGGCGATAGATTGCTTTATTGGCTGTTTGGAGCAACCTTGATTTTCTATTGCTCTATCTCTTATATAATTTTTGTTATATAGTCCATTTTCTGCTAGTGAGGTTGTTGGCTTGTAATTTGTATTGAATTTTTTAGCAGGGGTGGTGGATCCTGAAATTTTATATTGGGAGTATAATTTATATAATTTTTTTTAAATAATTGCATACATTTAGTGTAACTGAAAATATTTAAAACCCAATTGTTCCATATATGAGGAAGGGGGGTTAGGATTTTTTTTTTTTTTTTCTATCTTTTGTGGGTTGTAAAAGTTGAAGTTTTATGTTTGTGCTGCCGCTTCCTTTACAAAGTCAATAGGTTGCATTTTCATTCACAGTTTCGCTTTATTTATTTATTTATTTATTTTTTTAATTTTGTTGACCGTATTTTGTAAAAGATTACAAATTCTAGTGTCAGGTTTTTTGGTTGAGAAATGAGTTAATTATAAACTTTTACATGGTTGTATTTTAATACTGCCGGTTTGTTTATAGAATCATTTATGGCTTGCATTCGTCTTTTTTATGCCCTTTAACCGTCTTGCAAACTGTTAACTGTGACTTATATGTGTTCCTAATGATTTTTCTTATTACTTATTTAAATTGAATGCTCTTAACTTTATGTATTTATGTTGCGCGTAATCTTGTCCCAATTGTGTGATTGCCCTTTTTATATCTTCTTACAATATGACTCTGAATTTTGTTTGTGTGAGTTGATATTTGGGATGGAGCATTTTGTAACAACTGTTATTGCACCTGCAGGGATCTTCTAGTGGATCAGCATAATTTATTCCTGAGACCTGCATGTGTCCAATATATTTAGTTCCTCATCTCACTACCTGATCTCAGATAGGCAAGGAGGTCTCAGATGGAACATTATTCTCATCCTCTGGATTTGCCAGTATCAGAGATGCATATGAAATTGGTGGGTCAGGTCTCTAGCAATCCCGAATCTCATCATTTTTATGCATCAATGCCTGTAACCGGTAATACCATGTTGGGTTCCTGTATGACAACTAATAACCATGCGGGTCATACTGAGTCTTCCGGTGGCAGTACGGGGTCGAAACAGATTCATATGCCGGACATGTCAGGTAATTTAAATGCGAGCATGACAAACAACCTCGCTGGTGAGAAGACACCACTGCCGGTCAAACGGAAGGCTGAAGTGGTACCCCAGTTGAACAGCTCTATTTCTCAGCAGTCAGTGTTGCCTAACAAGAGGCCATCACACATGGGGGCTAATAACTCTGCTGGGTTTTTGCAGACATCAGCACCTCAAAGGAAAACTGCGCAGACCCAGTCCAAGCCGGGTTCTCCCGCTATACCGGCTCAGAATTCGTCGAATAAGAAAATGTTACGGAATGATTCCACGTCTGGTAAATCTGGCTTGCAGAGGGGCTCATCTGCAAAAAAACAATCTGCTCAAATCGAGCCAGTATCCAAGGCCCGCCCGGAGTCTGCAGAAGCTACAAGGTCCAAAATGAGGGAGTCTCTAGCTGCTGCACTGGCCTTGGCAGTCAAGAAACAAGACAGTGTATCAACGACTCAGAATGATCAGAGTGAGGCCGCTATTACTCATCAGCCCACGAATGCTTCGGTTTCTGAGCGCGGTTTGGATATGGGAGGCCATGTTCCTGTTTCTGGTTCTAGGGGTTCAAAAGAACCAGGACCAAAGGAATCAGATGTGCTAAACAACACCAATGAGTCTCAGGTGTTCCCCTCTGAACTACCGCCCAACGTAAGTAATGTGAATAACGAACAGGGTTTCCAGGGGTTTCAGTATGCTTCCATTTTGCCTGATGGGGATATCTCATTTGGTGATAATTTCTTCGCTAAGGACGACCTCTTGCAAGGAAACGGACTTTCTTGGGCATTTGATTTTGATGCACAGATTGGAGAGGCAAAGGAAGCGCAGCCCGCCGAGAAGCCTGAGCCTATTAAAGTTGAATCTCAGGGCCAAGAAGAAAAAAAATATGTTCTGACACCAGAAAACTTGGCCTTTGAAATTGAAGACGAACTCTTCAAGCTATTTGGTGACGTGAACAAGAAGTACCGGGAGAAGGGCCGGTCTCTCTTGTTCAACCTCAAAGATCGTAACAATCCGGACCTGAGGGAAAGAGTGATGTCCGGTGAGATACCTCCCGAAAAACTGTGCTCAATGTCGGCTGAGGATCTTGCTTCAAAGGAGTTATCACAGTGGCGTATGGCCAAAGCTGAGGAGCTCGGCAAAATGGTGGTTCTGCCAGATACCGAGGTTGACATAAGACGTCTGGTGAAGAAAACGCACAAGGGAGAGTATCAAGTGGAGGTCGAGCACGATGATGGCATTGCTGCAGAGGTCTCGAGCGGGACTTCTATGTTAACACAAACTCACCCCCCTCCGAAAAAAGAGGCCGAACCTCATTCTCCTTCAAAGGAGAGTATTAGAGATAAAGGCGATGATGAGGATTTTTCTGGTAGTTTGATTATCCCGACTGATGGAACTGACCTAATGCAAGGAATGATGGTGGATGAATTGAAGGATGCTGAACTTTTGCCTCCAATTGTTTCGTTGGACGAGTTTATGGAGTCCCTTAATAATGAACCCCCTTTTGAGAATCTACCAGGGAATGTGGCACAGAAGACCCCCAAGCCACATGGAGAGAGCCCGAAACTTCGGATAGATTCTCAGGCTTTTGGTCGGGCTTCAGAGTCCCCTAGGGATGCATTGGTAAAAAAAGCTAGTGTTTTTAAGAAACAAGATGGGACAGTGAAATCTAGTGGGAGTCCCGCAGAACAGAAAGGTAGTCCTATTGTTGTGCCGAAGGTTGAATATCTATGGAATGGTATACTTCAGCTGAACATATCGTCCTCAGTCACTGTCGGTTGTCTATTTCAAAGGTCTGTGAGTTTGTCGATTTGAAAGCACAAGTTTGCATTCACTTTCTTGATTTCAATTTTCACATATACAAAAGAGTGTTTTTGTGCTTAATTTGCTGAAATCACCTGAATGAATACTTTCATGTGAAGTGCAATTCGTAGTATTTCGTTACAGTTGGATGGAGTAAAATTTTTAGATACTACCAAACACACACTTGGGTTTTGCCTAATTACAGTAGACTCTAGTTGCATTTTGAAGCTATTGTTGCCTCCTTTATAGTATTGTAACGTACGGTCCCTTAAGGTTTTACATGTACCTAACAAATATATTACTTTGAGGGTTCGAGTTGTATGTAACATAAAACAAAATGTGGAGAGGGTTATTTGTAAATCTGACACAAAATGAGGTGTTTCTGCAAATAGACTAACCTGTGTGGAATGTTGAAATTTCTTGACAATGAAATTAGCTTTCTTGTACATTTCAGCATTCTATATGTTTTCCTGTGTTCTTGAATTACTTGCTTTTTTACCTGATCCTATAGTTTTTGTTGGCAGTGGTGAGAAGACATCCACAAAGGATTGGCCTGCCTCTCTTGAGATCAAAGGCAGAGTTAGACTCGATGCTTTTGGAAAATTTCTTCAAGAACTTCCAAATTCTCGAACTCGTGCAGTCATGGTATATACAGGCTTCCTCCCTTTACTTGTAACTGAAATTTTCCTTATCTTTCACCGGCCTTCGGATTTCCGCCTGCAGAGGGCATGTGGCGTCCTGTGGCCTATAATTAGTGGCTTTTATCTTCGTTTAATATTCGTGAGGATGTATAGTAACTGTGCTGATAGAAATCGTACCAAAAAGGTGTTTTTGCTGGATGAATGTTTTTTCTGCAGCACACGCATTCACTACCAGCGATCTTCATGTAATTCAAAAAAAAAAAAAAATAAAAAAGGATTTGGGTATCTGGAATCTAGGTTTTTGCCTCAGCAGTGACCAGTGATCCGCGGCAGTTTTTGTTAATTGTCGGACGGTGGTAAATGGCTGAAGGTCAAAATCCCGCAATAACCGCCATCCTTCACAGATTCAGCATGGGTGGTGTGGCAGAAATCCCCCATGCCATTTGATAACACTGCTCGATCCATAGGGTTTCTGCAGTGTTGTTTGAGTTAATTATAAAGCAGCCCCTAGCTTCTCACTGAATTACATACAAAAATGCAGATACCATTTATCTCTAATTAAAATCTTGACATTTATATATATTTTTATTGGAAATTGGGGACTAGCTGTTAATATGGCTAAATCAGTGGTGATATTTGTAATAATCTCATTTTGGTTGCATATGTTAACAGACTTCGGGCGAGGGGATAGTTCTGTTTTAAGTCGATGTCGACTGACAGTGGTGATCTGGTTTAGGGACAATGATGTTAATGGATTTAGTAGATAAAACACTTCAGGGGCAGAGAAACAACAGTGGATATATCTATGCTAACATGCGGCCGATAAACCGCATTCGAAAAATTTAATTCCGTATTTTATTATTTCGTATTGGCTGTACATTGTAACAAATCGAGTCTCTCCAATTTCTACGTGACTTAAATTTGCTTGAAAAATGAGCAGTAAAGGTTAACAACGTTGTGGTGTGGTTAAGTTTAATGTGAACCACGTTCTTCTGTGAGTGTTCATTGTGCCCAATAAAAGCATTAAACAAAAAAAGATGTTTCACGCAAAAGCTTGTCACATTAAAACATCTAAATAGAAATATTTTTAAAGCTGTTAACTGTAGGCTGCAACTCGCATTTTACTTTGTCAAAACGCCTTTAGTACTTTTGAGTTTTGCACTTTTTACATTTTTAACCATTCAAAACTTGATTTTTTTGCAGGTGCTCCAGTTTGTATTGAAGGACACATCATCTACAACACAGCGTGCTAATCTTTCTGAGGTGACTTCATTGAATTATTATTTATTTCTCTCTCTCTCTCTCTCCCTCTCTCTCTCTCTCTCTCTCTCTCTCTCGTGTGCCTAATGTGACCATCGTTCTTGATTCAGGCTGTAGACTCGTATGTTGCGGACGAGAGGCTGGGATATGCCGAACCTGCCCCTGGAGTCGAGCTCTATCTATGCCCTCCGACCCCAAGAATATTGGACACATTGAAGAAGCTTAATCTGAAGGAAAATCCAGGGAGTGATAAAATCGTAGAAAACGGACTAGTTGGTGTAGTTGTATGGAGACGGGCCCACGTCAGCAACACGACTGTATCACCCAACTCGTCATCACACCACAAGCATGCACACGCTGCTTCCAAGAAGCAGCAGCCCTTTGCACGGGCCCAAGATTTGTCTGTTGTCAATGCCAACACTTCCACTAGAGCCCCTCATCATCACATAACTAACAATAACCCTGAAAAAGACGAGGATGATGATATCCCGCCTGGGTTTGGCCCGGGTGCCCCAGCCCGCTTGGTGGCAAAAGATGACGATGATTTGCCCGAGTTCAATTTTTCGGGTGAGCTGAGGGCAAATGCGTCTATTCACAAGGTTTCACCGAATAATATGAACTTTGGGTCAACAATTAGACAACGCCCGGTAGACCAAGTTAGGGAGCTGATTAAAAAATACGGGCAAAGTGATACGAATAATGAAATAAATAGGAACCGTGTAACTAATAATATGAACATGGGCATCGAGCCCTGGAATGATGATGAGGACGATGACATTCCAGAATGGCGGCCACAAGGTCCACCTGGATATGCGGTG